TTGGCTTGCTCCTTCCTTTAGCCCACCAGTGGCATGTCATTTCTTGCCTGGCCCTGAAGACAGCCAGCACAAAGGAGCAGAAAAGTAGTTGCTCCCCTACTCTGAGAAGTGATTCGTTTAGTTTCTTAAACTAGTTGAAGCACATTGAGGGGCAAGATGTGGCTGAAGATGCAAATAGGAAAGTGGTTCTCTTCTGTTTGGCAGCAGGTTATCTTCATAGTGACATTAACCTGTACCTTTAGTGTGATGATAGGGCAGAAGTTTGTGAGTGCTCAGACACTGTGTGGATGCTAGCAAGCTTATGTCAACAGAGGTACATTCAATTCTGTGTAAAAACTGCTCTGTAAAAACTTCCATGTGCTTTCCAGGCAGGTAGCCCTTAGGTACATGAACATAAAGGATGAGTCAGGTGTTGAAAGGAATTGAAATCTCAGTTGCTGTGGGAAAGAGAAAAATTTGTGGGCAGCCTTTAAACTGCAGAAAATATCTATCTAGATTTTATGTCAGATTCAGTCCAGAAAAACTTGTCCATGAGGAAGAATGCTTTTTCTGAGCATCTGTGCACAGCTACTCTCAAGATTTTGTTCCAAGGTCCTTTGTGGTGATTATGGCTTAAAAAAAAAACAAAACAAAACCAAAAAAAAACCCCACCATTACCACCACCAGCAAACTGAAGGCCTGTCTATTCTGACACAAGTTATCTAAGATCAATTGAATAGACAATAGTGTTTACATTACTCCTATGAGCAATGTAATGAGGTTTCAAAGATACCAACAGTTTTTACATCGTGTCTTTGAGCTCATGTCACCAGAACAGCTACTTGCAGCATGTGACTCTGTAACTGTCACGTTCCCCTTCCTCAGGATGGCCTGTAATTCTAAGGCACTGATTAAGAGAACAATATTACTGCCACTTTTTCTCTTGATCTGACACTTCCTCATTTGGGAGACCAGGTGTGTAGTCAACTAATAATTTGCTACTAAACTTCTTAGAGTTTACCTGGAGTTTACAGGACTTGTCAAAAGAAGGAGCAGACAAATTTTATGACTCGGGAACTTATCAACAGTTATCTTTTTCAAGAATTCTTCCATTTTAGATTGGAAAGCGATACTTTTGGGAGAGAGGGACTGAGGAACAGTTGGGCTATTCCTTTTTCCCTGAACTTTTCAGAAGCGTGTTCAAGAGAAGAGGGAAGACTGGAGACAGACACAGCAAATGTTGCTCCCTGGTTTCAAAGCTTCTTGTTTTGTTTTGTTTTTTTCCCTAAGCCAGAATATTCAAAAGTCTGACTACTTTGAACCACCACTTCTGTTGATTGGCCTCACTATTTTAGTTTCCAGACTGCAAAACAAATAGTTTCTATTGGGTGCTGTGAAGGCAATCTGTTTGGCTGTGATGGAGAAAGGATTACTGTAATCCAAATATAGTAAATGCTTTTCTTGGATTACTTTTTGTAGCTTATATTTAGCTATCTTTAGGCTGAAGGATTTGGATCCAAAAATAGGAGGAAGAATAATGAGAAAGAGGAGAATATATACTTCTAAGTTTTGCTTTAAATTTCTGTGCAATGGCCTGCATCTTGTAAAACTCAATACCTGAGGAAATGCGAGTGTGATAATTTGCAAGGCTTTTTTGAACTATGTTATGTCATAATGTACTGTGCAAACTCCATGCTATACTAATGATGCAAAGTGTCAGGTATTAATGCAAGTTTTGTTCAGGTTATGTGAAAGGGATAGAAGGCCATACTGTACTTTCAGAATGGACAAATGTGATTTGAATTATTTTGAATTGGGAGATTAATTGTAAAAAGATAGGTGCTAGGCTGTTCTCAGGTTTTTCAGAAGAGACACAGAAATAGTGAAGACCTTACATTTGTTTCAGTTTCAAAGCTTTTATTTATTGTATTTTTGTGTGTTGGAATTTTGAGAAAATCTTTGTTAATCAGAATGTTTCAATTTTTTTTTATTCTCTGTGAACTGTTGTGAGGTGGAGAGCTTGCCTGTAGTTCCAGGCTGATGATTGAGTCTTAGTGTTTTCGAACTCTTAATTTGATTATGATCCTAGAAACTCCTTCTAGGAAAACACTGATAGTAATTAAGTAGTCACGATGAATCTATCTGTGCTAATACTTTTACAGCTTTTATGTTTCATTCTAGCAGAACACAAATAAGTAGATGAATAGTTAAATAGACAATGTTAGCTGTGAACAGTGGATTTCAGCCCCAATTTAGAATGCTTATTGGGGTGCCTAATGAGTTCTGCTAGTGATAACTTACATTTTAGTAATACTTAAATGTGATTTTGTTTTTCTTGAAATCTTCCTAGATTTTTCTTTTTAATTAACTCTTCATTGCATACTGATGTAACACACAGTACATGTTTTCTGACTTACTGAAAAGTACTTGAGGAATTTATCATTACCTCTGTTTCCCTGGCTTTACTGGATGTATGTGAAATGTACTACTTTGAGAACTCCTTTGTAAGTATGAGTGTTGTTATCTAGCTTTGACAGAAAAGATGCATGCATTTATTGTAGAAGAGGTAATGGTTGCACTTTCTGTCACTTCAACTGAAAACAGTAGATTGTCAGTCCTTTTGGGATTATAGTCAGTTGGCAAACATCAAGCTTACTCCATGGTGTTCCACAGTGGTGTTAGGCTAGTCTGCTCTAACTCAGAAAGCTGAACAAGCTTCTGATAATACGTGAGGACAATGATTTTTTTTTTTTTTGTAATGCAGTGCAGTATCTCTTCCTATTCCCCAAATATGTTACAACAAAAGTACCCAGATAGATATACTTTTTGAAGTCTGAACCTGTACTAAGAGTACTTTGTCAGTATAGATCAATATATCAGCAGCTCGCTTCTGCTTTGGGCACTGTTCTTGCCAGCATAATGTTCTGCTTAGAGGCTTTTCTAGTGTTACTTAGGAAACAGCTGCTCTTTGTTTCCACAGTAACGCAGAAAAATATATTAGATCTGACTTGTCTAAGTGTTAACTAGACGTTTCACGACTCTTTTGTTTACTTCAGTTAGTTACAGAAAAAATGAGTGTTTTCATCTTACTAGGAGGGAGGCTTTGATTTTAATTTTGTAGTGCTTGTTGGGCTGTCTTAATTGTAGGTTAGGTTGGGTATTCCTCCTGCTAGCTTGCATGTCAAATCAACTGTGATAAGAAAGAAGCATCTCTGCTATTACATAGAATGCATAATATTCTGTCCATTGTCTGTGTGGGCATGCTTTAGGTCCCACTAAATTGCTGAGCAATGTTACCGGCTTGCAGTTTTTGTCAGGTATCAGAAGAGTAAAGCTGACCAAATTTTTGCAGATTTGACTATGCTCTGCTTGATGATAACCGTAGAGCTAGTAAGGCTTTAATCAGTTTTCTGTTGTAGGTCCACTGGAGTTACCAGTAAAGGCTTTCAACTAGTATACAAGTCACAACCGCATTCACAAATCCATATTCCAAAAAATAAACCCATATTTCAGTGTCATTCAGGCATAAGGCAAAAAAAAAAAAAGGCAAATACAGAGTAAATAATTGCCCCTTTAGGTTAGGAATGTTATAGAATATACTTGCTCATTCTTCTACCAGCTCCTGTTTCATCGTTTATCCTCTTTTCATCTTCAGAAATGCCTTTTTTGCCTTGCTGTGTAGTTGCAGTTTTGTCTGTTTTTCTTTATACGCCACTTTTGTTAATATTTTTAATTTTCTAGGTACGGAATCCGCCCTGAAAATGTGATTATATATGGCCAGAGTATAGGAACAGTACCATCCGTGGATCTTGCTGCTAGGTATGAAAGTGCTGCTGTAATTCTTCATTCTCCACTGACCTCAGGAATGCGAGTAGCCTTTCCTGATACGAAGAAGACCTATTGCTTTGATGCATTCCCAAAGTAAGTTGTAAGATTTTTTTATTCTGCATGCATTTTTCTCTATTACAGAAGTTTTAGACTAGGGAAACAAGTAATACGGCAAAACCTCTGAAATTTCTTTCAAAGATTTAAAAAAACAGTTGGAGAAAAATCAGAGTGAATAACAAGGAACAGTTGATTTGAAGGAGTTTGCAGAACCTTGTAAATCTTCTACATTTTTCACATATCTAATCATTTCAGTGGATATCTGTTACAGAAGTGATTAGTTTTCCTATATGTAACTGCTCATATCACTAATTCTAACAAGCAGTTCTAGTTCAGTGAATTGTTAATCTGGGTAACTGAACAAAGTCTTTTGCATATGTTTCTGTAAGTAACAAAGACTGGAAAACCAAGTAGACCTTAACTGAAGAAAATTCCTGTCATGTGTTTCAGAAATATGCCACAAGTTGGCCATTACAAACTGCTACACTTGTCTCAAAGAATTATTTATATTTTGAGCATCTAACTTCAAAGAGTTTTTTTTCCCCATAGATGGTCAAACTTTGCTAAAATTCTTTCACTTCTGAGAAGCACTTTTTTACTGAAAAACTCTGTAGTATTTTCTTTAGTACTTTTTTTTTTTTTTAAGTGAACATGGTAATGAATACCACTTTTAGACAGATTACTCTGTTATTTGATGCTAATAGTTTCCAGTAGTGTTTTTCCTTTCTGTGTGGTTTTATATGTGCTACTGTAATGGCTTCCAGGGTATTGATAAGATCTAATTTTCTAATGATTTAAACAACTTCAGAATTAAATGGTTAAACTACAATGTATAATTAAAAAGTTAAATTGACAGTCTGGTCCTTCAAAAAGCTTACTGTGTTCATAGATATAATCTTTTTCTTACAGCATTGACAAAATTTCTAAAATAACCTCTCCTGTGTTAATAATCCATGGGACTGAAGATGAAGTAATTGACTTTTCACATGGCCTAGCATTATTTGAGCGTTGCCAGAGACCTGTAGAACCACTGTGGGTAGAAGGAGCAGGCCATAATGATGTGGAGCTCTATGGACAGTATCTTGAAAGATTAAAACAGTTTGTGTCACAGGAACTGGTGAACTTGTAATTTTCTCTGTATATTTACATGCTTTTTCATATCACTGCAGAACTGCACACCTTGATATAACGTAACATAAAACCTGAAGGTTGTGTTTTCAAATCATCTTGGTTGCCTTCGTTAAATGTACAGGTAATGATTTGTCAACATAATTAATGAAGGTTTTAATGCCAGTATTATAAACTGGAATTACATGATCACGCGGTCAAGCTTGGCAGTTCATACTACTTTGTGTGAGGTTTTCTTCTTAGATGTACAAAAAAAAAATTCCCAAGGAGTACTGTATGAAACCTTAATTATGTAAAATCAAATGCTGTAAAAGTGTTGCCAAATGCTTTAGCATATAAAAAAAAAGTTTATAAATATTTTTTAAACATCTCAAAATGTACTGTGACTTACTCTATTGCACAGGTGTAAATTAAAAACCAGACTTCTAAGCAGTTGTTCTGTAAAAATGTAATAGCCATGAAACTTGAGCAAATACTAATGTATGTAATAAGAATAGACAGTCACTGGAAATGACCCATTCCCTGTTATAGGGGGAGGGGGTCAAAATAGATCTCTCTTTCCATATTTTTCATATCTTCTGTGCTCTAGTTTTACTTCAGTTGTTTTGTTCCTGTGTTCTCCCTTACCTTTCATGTTAAAGAAATTTACCCAGTCATCTTCTCAGCAGTCCTAGTCTTGCCAAAATAATGCCACAAGTTATCATTGTTGTAACATAAATAACATTCACATAATTGCTACTGAGGCCATTAAGTACTTCATTGAAACCAGTAAGACACTTAGAACCTAGAAGGCTTTGTGGACAACATAGTTTTAAACATTGATTGCGTAGAAATGCAATATTTCATTAAAAAGAACCTGGAAGTTTATCCAACTTTGTAATAAACAATTTGCAAGTTTGCAGTTGTCTGATCAGGCTTACTTTTGGATGTTTAGTGTAAAAGCTTATTGGGTTTTGAGTATTGTATGGAAATTTTACTAATTGTGCCTGGAGGGGGTGGGGGGAGGGGCAGGAAAAAAATGTTGACATTCTTCTATTAACTCATAGTAAAATAAACTTCGTAAGTTGCCTTTCCCTTGAATGCATTTTGCTTGGAAAAAAAATATGAAAAATAAACTTAATTATATGTAGCCTATTTGTAAACAAAGTAATATTCCAACAATACACACTGTGCTTCTAATTTTAAGGCCTTATGTAGTTTAATTGTTCTGCTTGTTTTTTGTGATTGAGACTATTGTATACTTAAATGTATCTTCAAGTATTGTGAAAACTTTGATTAAGATGTGTTAACAGTAAACAATATTCTACACACTTGCTGTTCTTCCTTTCCTTTTTTTTTTAAAGAAATAGCAACAGTTGCTTGTGATATCAAAATAATAAGCAACTCCCCATTTACTCTAGGAAATCAGAGAACTAAAGCAGAAACCCATTGTTACGAATTGTCAGCGCATATTTTTATCAGCAACTACTCTTCTGATCAGCCTCCCACCCCCATGCCTCATCTATCTTCTTTCTGCTGTTCAGCATGCAGATTTTCTGCTCAAGAACTACTTACAAACATTCTTCTGTAATGAATTCAAATTTAGCTTTCTTTGAAATCATCAGTGACTTCTTGTTTTGTGCTCTTTAGTTTGTTAATTGAATAGAAGGAAATTTTAAGTTGTTCTCAAGCAACTGGGTTCTTGTTTGTCTTTTTGATCAATTATGCTTCAATGTGTTCTGAACTTCAGATTAGTATTCAGCCACAATAATATTAGACTTAAAGATTTTCATCCTAATCCAAGATTTGCGATTGGAAGTGTGCTTAAATAGATATGTAACTCAGCTTTATTACATCATACTATATTCACAGTTTGATTTCATTTTCTTACTACTTTCCAACCACTGTCTCTGATTTAGATGGAAATCGTTACTATTAAGCATTTAAGTGCTTTCTTTGTGATGAATGAAGTCTGTTTTGAGAGTCCTCTTCAGAAATCCACAAATAAAGAATGTAGAACTGCAGTGATAAGTGATACAGAGTGGCTGATAGTACTGCAAATTGCAGGGAAATGATCAAGTGTCATCACAAGAGCTATCTGATTGTGCTAGGGAATATTATGGCACCCTGTAACTGAAAAGACAGAAAAGGTGGCATAGCAGTTTTGCTGCTTTTGTTTCTGTGTTTTGTTGAAGCAGAACAAAAGGCTTGACTAACAGTGTTTTGTCTTCAGTAGATGCAGCTGTTCTGATTACACTGGTAAGTAAAGGTTCTGGTCTCTTTGAGACCACTTACGCATGGTTAATTATTGCCAGTTTGTTCTGATTTGTATTTTACACCTAGATTTTTCAGACAAGTTGTTTACTGAAAGAAGTAAAATTGGTTTTAGGCACAGCCGAGCTCGTATTGAGAATCGTGTCACGGCAACAAACTTGTTACCGACATAAAGTAACTCTGAGCTATTGCAGCTAGGAGGAAAACATTTGACATGGTAGTTGTCTTGTCCTTAAACCATCGTTTTGATGAAATTGACAATGGGCTGTTGTTTTGTTTTAAATGCAGTTGTCTCATGATAAATAAGAGTTGATTCAGCATTCATTAGCAAGACAATGGCTGTATTTTAGGGAAAAAGAAAAGAGCATTTTGTGAACCACGTGGTCTCATTCCTTTTTTTTTTTTTTTGAGACAAATATTTGACAGTAAACTATCTTGTTCAGGTCTGGAAACCTTGGCAAATCAATTTTAAAAACAACTTCATTTATGTAAAATATGAGATTACTTTCTAAATGTGGGGTCCTTTGGGACATGCTTTGCTGTCTCACATTCCCAGCTACACATTAAAAAAAATAAAAAACCTCCCCTCTCTTTACTGTCTGCTTGTGGCAGCAAAGAATTCTAGTGTATGTTTAGTTAGCTACTCTTATTGACTGATTTCAAACTTGCTTTCCTTTTGAAGCATTTTTTAGGTGAAAAAAAAAATTGCATGTTTACTCTTTTAATTGGATGACATTGTGCAGCAGGGCTAGCTACTTGGTACCTCTTGCCATGGAATATTCCAGGTCCTACCAGTACAAATTTTTCTCACTATACAGTAGGCATTGTTAATATCTTAAAGATAAAAATAAGGAAAATAGTGTTTGAGAGCCAGAGGAAAAAGCATCCTGGGAAAAGGCAAGCCGATCACTTGAAAGCAGCTGTGCAGAAAAGGAGTTGGGGACCCTGGTGGACAAGCTGACCGTGAGCCAGCAATGCACCCTTACAGCAAAGAAGACCAGCAGCATCCTGGACTGCATTAGGCAGAGACTCACCAGCAGGCCAAGGGAGGTGATCCTTCCTCTCCACTCAGCACTGTGAGCACAGACGCCTCTGGAGCGCTGGGCCCAGTTCTGGGCTCTCCAGTGTAAGGAAGATATGGATGTACTGGAGTAAGTCCAGTGCAGGGCGACAGCTATGGCTGAAGGACTGGAGCATCTGTCATAGGAAGAGAGGGTGAGAGCACTGGACCTGTTCAGCCTGGAGAAGAAAAGGTTTGACAGGATCTTAACTGTGTGTGTGAATATCTCCGGGAGGGAGGGAGTGGAGAGAGCTAGACTTCCCCCAGTACTGCCCACTGAGACAACAAGAGGCAATGAGCACGCACTGAAAGATGGGAAACCTGATTTGAATACCAGAAAAGAACTTTTTTCTGGGAGGGTGGTCGAACACTGGAACCGACTGTGAAGGTCCCATCTTTACAGCTATTCAGAACCCAACTGAGCACCGCCCTGGGGAACCTGCTGTAACCGACCCTGCTCTGAGCACAAGGTGGACTAGATGCTCTCAAGGGGTCCCTTTCAACTGCAGCTGTTCTGTGGTTTTGTGAAGCATGGCATGCAAATCCTTCGGATGGTTGGCACTACAAATATTTATGTGCCATCACCAGCTCAGAAGTGGAGACTGTTGAGATAAAAGAATTATCTTCATTTGGCGCTCCCTGCTTTTGATGATTTATTTGTCAGCAACACAAAGCAACAAAAAGACTGTTATGGAAAAAGCCCTTTATGTCTTAGTCCTGAGACCATCACCGTTTGATGTGCTGTTACTGAGACTGACTCTAATACCAAAATGTATATAACAGTGTCATCAGAGATCACATTGCTACCTTAATGCAAAAGGAAGATTGAAAAGCTAGATGTAAAGTATAGGCGTGCTATCCTGAAAGAGAAAAAGTGCTTGAAAGATGTCTTAAAACATTCTCAAAGGTGGAAATGTTGCATTCACAGCTACTATTATCCTATGTGCTTGGCAAGCAGCAGAGGAGACTGAACAGAGAGATGGTTGTTTTGGGGTTGTTTTAATAAAATAATTTTATTATTAATAATTAATTAATAAAGCTTGTTTTACTTCACTTGAATAGTGTTTGTAAAACAAAACCAAAAAGTTGTTTATATTCTCATTGGGAAAAAGTTTTTCATGAGCTACTAAATGTTTTTTCAGGCTTGCTCCCCTTGCTTAAACAGTTCAGGTAACATTTGATTCTTTCTGCTCGTTAAAAGTTAGTGTGAAAACCCATTGAGCTTGCATAGCACCAGGTTGAAATTTCAGCATGAAATAGCCTTAGAACTCTTAGCATATGGAACTTCTTAACCAATTTGCATTAAGAGAATATTAATTGTAAAATAACCATAAAAACAAACAATGTTTCCTTGTGAAGAAATTCTGTTGTATGATGATAATAAATTCTACGCTATACCACCTTCTTCCTTTTTTTCTTAATTTTTTTTTTATTTCTTAAGTAAGACATCTTGCTCTTTCTTTCTGTGAAAGGAAGTAAAATTCTAGCATATTTCTGGTAAAATGGCAAGGAAAATGCTTTAAGAAAGAGGATAGTGTAAAAGAAATGTTCTTAAAAACTGATTATTCTGCCAGCGAGGAAGGGGCCAACCTTAAAAAAAAAAAAGTCAGCATCAACTTTTCCCTAGAGGTGTTAGTAAGGTATCTTAGTCTAATAGTCTATTTAAAAATAATCTGAAAACCTCAAAGGGGTTTTGTTGCCTAGAAGAGGTTTTGTGGTTGGTAAATGAGGCATCATACAAATGGTTGTAATTTTAATGTTTAATTTTCAAATTTTTTTTGCTTACAGAGGGCAAATAGTTTTCTAACCCTCAGCACTGAAGAGAAGGCATGGAAGAGAGATTATTGAAGATGAGATAGTCAATTTACCTTCCTATTATGCTAGAAGCTATGCACATCTCTAAGTAGGTAGCTGTGCCCTGTCACCTCCTCGAGCATAGGGTATATCCATATGAATGGAATCAGGCTGTCACACTGGAACATGTTTTTCTTCCAAAACCACAAAGCCACAAATGTTTTTGCCCGAAGTTTTCTTCTGGAGTCAGGTAAATAGTGGATTTACTATATTGTTCTAAGACAGAATTATACCAAAGATCCAAATGAATCTTACGCTAGAACAGCATTTTAAGTCATTTGATTAGTAACTCATCTATTACCTCAAAGACCTATAACAGCAGTGCAAGTCTTTCTCAAACATCCAAAGCATTGCAAA